TTTTTAGATGTGGACAACTGGTTCCCAAAAAACACAGATGCCTCTTATAACCTGTGAGTATGCATACTGCTCACTGTTCTGTGTCCTTGCTGTTAAGCATAACATTGTTCTGTTTTCCATAAATGGAGTTCCTCTTCAGCATAGCAACTGTCAGATTTGGACTCAGTCTTTACAACTAAAAATAGCAGCTATCGTTTATGAATAGAGGCAAGTTTTCCAGTCCATTATTTTTTGTTTCAATCTCAGGTCCAGAGAGGAATATGGGTGACACAGACGTACAGCGTAAACTTTTTAGATGAAGAAAGAACAGTTTTAGATATACAACTTATTGCAAAGTTACTTCACAAAAGTGTGAAAAGTCACCCTCATGTATTTAATTTAAAAGAAAACAAACAAACATTTAAAAAAACAACAAGCCAATTCTCTGGGTTAGTAGACTAAAGGTAATATATAGAGTCCTGTGGTGCTTTGATGCTTTTTATTTTATATAATGAGATTGTTATTTTCAGGGATTATTTTCATGTCATCCACATTACTGATCCTTGGACAGTCACAGCACATGACCTAATAAATAACCTGGTTCTATCAAGACTAATAACCGCCAAGGCTCTGAAAAAATGTCTCTCTCCCAACTGGATAAAACATTTAATTGACCCAGAAGGAAAAGGACGTAACTTGTGACTTGTGGTCTAAAATCACTCAAAGTGATTTTTAAGACTAGGAAAGTGCTATATAAATGCAAATGTGTTATGTTTTGAACAGGATATGTTTGAAAGCAGTCCATTGGACTAGAGTTGATACACTTGACAACAAGCTCCAAACTGTGCAGCATACTGCCTTAGCCTGAATGTGTCTAACTAAGGCGTGTTACGATCCGGGCCATAATTCGGATCCCGGGGGCTGTTTTTCTTGTTCTGTGTTTAAAAGTCTACAAGTCATTCCTGATTGGAGAGCTGACGGCTGCTGATTGGCTTCCTGATCAAGTGGCTGTTTTGAAAAACCCTCTCCAGCAGTTGTCTCGGGACAGCAACTGACAGCAGCAGCAGACCTGTCCTTGGCCTCCAAACTCTGTGACTTTTGTGCACATGTTTTGCTAAGGACTGTTGAGCTTTGTAAATAGATTACTTTTCACGTGTAAATGGGTGCTGAAGCAGTGGGATGAACTGCCTTACTATTGTCTGTACTGTTTTCTCTTGTTTATTCAGTTAGGAGTAGCACTTGTCTTTTGTTTGGTTTTTGTTTCACCTAGGGTTCAGATAGCACCTCCATTTTTGAATAAGCTTGTTTTGTTTGTTCTCCCTGGAGTTAAGCTTCAGTTTAGACACAATAAGCCACCTTTAACTTCGGCTTCTGTGTATGGTTTTGGGAACCAGGGCGGGGTCACTTTGCTTTTAACCCTTATGTTGCGTTCCAGTACCCCTACACCGGGACATAACAGGCGTTAAATATATTAAAGAAAAAGTGACAGTATTCTACAGTAATAACAGACACTGATGTTATTAGAATATCATGTGTATGTGTGAGAGATACAAAGATACAGTAATTGTACTGCTGTGGGTCATTGTAAAGAAGCAATTGGAAGGAACAAGCTCCTAAATCCCAGCCTGTCGCTGAAGGAGTTGCTCAGTGCTGTCAAAAAGACCTGCATGGGGTGGAAGGTGTTCTCTAACAGGGATGACAGCTTGGCCACCATGGTCGACACCAAGCTTTTTCTATTTTTTGGAGCTGTAATAGAGAGTGCCACCAAAATATGTTTTTATTTTTATACTGGATTTTGCATTTGCTACTAAAACTTCTGTTGACCAGTGCTGTTAAGATAACATTTTAAGAGTATACAACAAAGAGAAAAGAAAAGAAAATGCAGTAATGGAGTCATTGCTCGTTCCTGTAAATATTGACACTGGCTTGGTACCCATCAATGACATCTTCTGTTTAGGTAGCCATGTAGGGAGGTAAGACACCATAAGCAAACCAGACAGAAAAAGAGATGGAACAAGAGGACTATGAAAACACACTTTCCTTTTGTAGAACTTGGTTTGATGTGGTTTGTTAATGTGTGTGTGTGTATATATATAATACTGACCGGTCTCTAGGCCTGTGTGACTGAGGTCTAGGGGCCAAGTTAAATTGCATTTTGTGCTGCTCTTCCACAGACATCTCCTCCTATTGCACTTTTGCACCTCTAATGTACAGCAGACTAAGCAGAAGGGAGAGCAATAAATGAGTCATTTATCCATAATAAGAAAAAATGATCATTATCTGTGCCGTGAGAATGCCTGATTTACAGTTTAGTTATGTAGAATCAGAAAAGTGCAACAAAAAATCCAAAATAAGCTACAAATTATAATTTGTGTATGTAGAGCTGAAGTGCTTAGCGAATTAAAACACTGATTCTGTATTAATTCTTGTCTAATCATTTAATTACATGAAATTCAAAGGGACTATTTTCTTGCAGTCAGTGGTGTAACTCTGAATACTTTATGTAATTTGCATATTTTTGTTAGTTAATGATTTAATTGTAGAAGTTATTTTTACTGTAATATTTTAGTGCTTTTTTACACTTCTTCCTGCCCACAGTAACTATTATTGTACTTAACCATTTTAGTTTTCTATTAAAATTGTTTTATTGAAAGAGATACTTGTGATGCTCTACCATCAAAATAGAATAATTGAATATTTTCCCCTTAGCTGTGATGCCCATGAGTCTTCCACCTGTGTGAAGCAAGATTATTTCTTGTGACGTTCACACTCTTAAGTCCAGAAATCTGCTTGATTGTTGATCAGGTGGTTTCCTGAAACCAGATCCTCATTCTTGAACACATGTTGTGTTAAATTTGGAATGTCACGTCACTGAAAAGATGATAGCTTCTCCACCCTACTGAAAAATACAGTTGGTATACTTATAGCCAGTCACACGTATGGATCAATTCTGTCAATAATGAGGAAGAAAGAGGGGATGCAAAAGACGAACACAAAAAGCAGCTTTTATATGTAAGCTGTGATTCTCTCTGTGGGATTATATCATTATATCTGGTATTAAATCACTGTATTATTGGCAACCTATTGCCTGTTCAACCATCCTTGGGGTGACAGTGAATTCATAAGGGATTGCCAAAAGTCAGCAGAGAAGTTTGTCTTTGTGACACCCTTTGTTGCTTTTAACTACAAAGGGTGTCACAACCCAAAAGTTACAGTTACAGTTAGTCCTCTTCAGTCATGTAGCCCTCATTCACTTCTAACATTCTGTGCACATAACCTGCACAGCTACTTTTAGAGCAGTTTTGCCCAGTGCTTTCATAGCATCAATCCCTGGAAAATGTAAATCAAATCTGCCAGGAATAAACATGAGCATGTTGAAGTGGCAGGTGAGAAAGTCGTTAAAGACGAAATCTAAAAAACTTTATTGTAGCCTCTCCTACATTTATTTCCCACAGCAGTCAGTTGGTGGTTATTTTAGTGTCTATATTAGAACATTTGCTCTGTTTTATCACAATAGCTAAATCACATACACAGAGCCATATATATACTTGCACAATAAACCAACTTTTGTATAGACCTTTAGCTTGAATTCAAG